TTTTCCATGAAAGGCCCAGATGTAAATACTGTAGGCCTGGCGGGTCATGAAGCCTGTGTAGCAGCACAGCAAGCATAGAGTGTGTGCTGCTGTGTGCCAGTGAAACTGTATTTGTGGACACAGGAGTTGGACCGTCACAATTCTCATGTGTCACGAGCCATTCTTTTTTTTTTTTTTTAATGCTTTCCAACCATTTAAAAATGTGAAAATATTTCTTAGCTCATAGACTGTACAGAAAAGCAGGGACTGGACCAGATTTAACCAGCAGGTCTCAGTTTGTTCACCCCCGCTATAGTAGCTCAAATAATTTACCTATTTTTCCTGGTGGTAACAATTACTAGGCAAAAAAGGAGAAAGTTTTCTAAAATCCAACCAAATGCTTCCTTATTAATCCAGTATTTTATATTTTTCTATTGGTAGTTTTTCAGATATCTTTAATTCTCTAGATTTGAGAGATAAAATAAATTCTTAGTTCTTTTGTCGACGTGTGGTAATGCCTAGTCCTCTTCTAACATCATATGATTTGCAGCCCTTTTTAATCTTTTAATCCGAAGATCTTTCTTTCTTTTCTGTAAAAACTATTAGTTATAGATGCTTCAGCCATGCAACTATTGAAATAGCATGTGCAGTGATTAGGCAATTAATATTTTATATTTTCTAAAATTAGAAAGGAGCAAAGTCAAGTCTGCTTTGTAATGATATAAATCCACTGAGACATTTGCTTCTCTTTTCAGGTTAACAACTTTCATATTAATAATGTGAGTCATATAAATAAACGAGCATATATATTGTATCATATTGAATTCCTGCATTCAACAAAGTTGTAATGTTTTCCTACATTTACCACTATGTTATGAGATCAAGAAAATTGTAAATGTGCATTGTAGTCATTTCTCTGTATAACATATGATTTGTCAGATAATATAGTACCTTATGTGATGATTATAGGAATTGTTCCATGTTTTAGTTACTGTTTAGACACTAAAAAATCAAAATATGAAAGATAAATACCTGTGATATTCACAGAAAATATCATTTAATCCTAGAATTTGAGGAAGGAAATTTTACTCTGAGCAGTGACTATAAATGGGACCTCACTCCTGAATTTGGTTGTTAGGGTTCCTTGTTAGCTGTTGCCATGTTGGGTTCATCTTTTACCATGGCACATGCTGAGGTCAGAAGAAATCTCCATGCTGATAGAGAAAACAGCGCTGTCCCACTTAGTGAATGGTTAACCTCAGTGAAATGGACTCCTCAGAGGCTCAGAGACCTCTCAGAACTCAGCGTGCTTCCCGTCCACTGTGAGTTACCACCTGCCACAGCTTAGCACAGTCCCCTGGCCAGAGACCACTCTGCTCCTGTGGAGAGATGACTATTGTCCCAGGATGCTGAGACGGAGCCGTCGGTAACTCTGGAGAGTGAAAAGAGAAAAGTCACCAGATACTCATGTTACCTAATTATGCCTGGACTCGTTTCAGAATGACATGACAAGCTTGCAGGGATCCACTAAAATGAAAACCAAGAAAAATGAATTAGATGAGGAAATGGATCAAAGAAAAGTAATACAGAGCCAAGGGTAATATTAGTAAACCAAGTCTGTGTTATGAGTTATGTAAAGTTGCCGGAGTTTCGAACTTTCATGTTTTCCTGGTTGTCTAAAAGTGAGAGAAATCTGGTTGGTAATGTCCACAAGAGTAGAACAAACCACTGTCTACAGAGAAACAGACATTAACACAAACAAATGGGCAAGGTTTGCCCACAGGGTCCTGGTCAAAGACTGAAGTTTGATCAGAGTCGGAGCCTACGTTCTAGGTATCTTTACCCTCATTGAATTCTCACTTGAAACCAGGAAAGCAAGGCTGATGAATGCAATCAAGGTTCTAGTATCATGCCTCTTTTATTTCAATACATTTGTAGTTTTTATCAAGTGAATGCACTCCCATGTATAAGTCCGATGTGGAAACGGCCTTATGCTAAGGCAACGGCTTGGTGGGTGAGGGTATTAGTCCCCACCTTTCCCCTTCTCTCCCAGCTTTACTTAGCCTTCTAGTTCTTCATCTTTGTGTTTTCACTTTCACGTTGTCCAAGCTGAATAGTGTATGTATTATGTTACTTACTCATAATTAAAACCCCCTGTCTACTATCAAAGTGTGGCCCTAAGATTGAAAATCAAATAAGTGTTTACATTATTGTGACTACAGTGGGGTGTGCAAGGAAAGCAAAATTTCTTATTCTTCGTGTTTGATATGATCTTATGATGAGCCCTGACCCTCCTGTGTGACTGGGAGAACATTCCCTGATGCCTAACCACATGTCATTGCGTCCCCAAGGCTACGTCCCACCTCCTGTGATTCAGCAGAACATCCAGGACTGGGTTTATTGTCACACAGGGCCAAGGCTGATTACAGGGGAATCAGCAAAGGGCAAGGTGCCCGGGGGGAGACTGAGGAAGCAGGCCAGGCTCCCGGGTCCTGTCCCAGTGGTCACACCAGGGCCCTCGCTTCTCCAGCAGCCAGTTGTAACATTGTGTGAAGTGTTGTCTGCTGAGAAAAGACGCCAGGCCCAGGGATTTTAATGGGGGCTCCTTAAAGAGGCTGTGGTGACCTTTGTCCTGTGCTTATCAAAACTGCACGCTCACAGAGGGAAAGAAGGTTTGGGGCATAAGCTATAGTTTGTATCAAGGTGAGGCTCGGCCAGACCATCCACATCAGTAAGGGAATGGTGGGGACCCTTCTGAAACCCAAGATCCCAAGTACTGGCCAAGGGCCCACCTCAGACCTGCTGTGACTCTTTCTGCAAACTCACTTCCAGTTCAAATAGTGGGTTTGGGGTTAATGATCTGTGGATTCCAATTTTGGGTTCCTTTGAGGTCTGGGTTACACAGCCTCTGATAATGGTCTGGTCTCTTTCAGGCAGAGCTTAGCCCTCCGGGATTCCTCTTCTTCCCCAGCTTTTCTCTAGGATAGTGAGTGTGTGCGTATGTGTATGTGAGTGTGGGGTGCATGGGTGTGGTGTGTGTATGCGTGGTGTGAGTGGTCTGTGAGTGTGCATACACGTGTATGTGTAATGCGTGTGTGCTCCCATGTGTGTTGGTCAAGGTGGGTAGGCAGACGTATGCGTACTAAAGGACGTGGCTGAGGACCTCTTCATGCCTCGAGACATTGCCACAAGCTTCTGCTGCAGGTGGTTGGACGGCTCTGCTGGGGTCTGGAGCAGGGATGGGTCAGGGCTCACACATGATGACCAATTTACTCCTGCAGCTTAGGCCACTGGCTGGGTCCCAATGTCTTTGATGGTAAAATTGCTGCAGCCACTGCCTTGTTCTGACTCTCTCCTGCCTTGTGCTGGGTGCCGGCCTCACCCCACACCTTTTAGAAGCTCCCCATGCGTCTGTTCCCTGCCACCCTTCTCCCTCTGTTCCCGCCAGAGCTGCAAAGATGCTCCCTCAGCTCTCCACTCCGCTGGTCACAGCCCGCCTGGCGACTCACCACCGTGAGCAGGCTGGTACGGCCCTCTGTCCTGCCTGCAGAGCCCTGGCAGGCACCTCCCCAACCATCCCCCCCGGTACCTCCCCCTACTTTTTACCATTCTCCCATTTAATTTCCCATGTTATTGATAATTGGCTCAGGTACAGAATTTTGGGTTGAAAATCTTTCCCTTTGAGCTTTGAAAGTATTGTTGCAATTTGAAAATTCTATTTTGGCTTTTGTTCCTAGGTTAATGACCTGATTTCTCTGCCTAAAAGGTTTTAGGATCTTCTGAAATTTTGCTTCCTCAGGGCTCCCACTGCCCTGTCTCCTGTTTTTCTAATGTTGCTTATTTTTATTTATTTATCTATTCATTTCTAGTTGAGCCCTCAGGTTCCTTGTGGTCTTCCAGGGACTGAGGCTCATCCTCTGCTGCAGCCCATGCCTCTGTGCCAGGAAAGCGCAAGCCTGTCTTCTCCGCAGCACTTTCTTCTGCGGCCATCGCTATTATGAGTTTACACATCTTAGTGTTAAGCATAATTCCAGTTGTACCTCTGGAGAGACAGGTCACCTGTGTGCTCAGGGGAGGAGGCCCATGGTGACAGGCAGTCCCCAGGTGTGCCCCACACCTGCTGCTTCCCTCCAAAGACTCTCACTGAGGGTAGTTTGCACATGTGTGTGACATCACCTGTTAACACAGCAGTGAACTTCAGACAGTTACTAGGGAGCCTGCTCACTAAAAAGATACAGGTATCATCTTTATTTCCTTCTGCTTCTTTTTCCAAGTCCTACTCTAATCCAATTTTGTAATCCTTTCACCCATACATTGTTAGTAGATAAGGATGGTGCATTTTGGTTGCTATGCACTATTAGACTTAGCAAGGGGTGTTTATCTGCCTTCTTTGGTGACTTAGGCTGTTCCCACTTTCTTCCAACTCTGCGCAGGACATCTGTGAACAAAATCTATAAGGTGCTTTCTGTTCTAGTATTTTTGGCCAGTCTGGGTTTGTTGAAGTTTGCATTAATTGACACTGATAATTCATCTTAAGTCTTTCTTGATGAACTAAGAAGACTTTGCTGTTCTGGGTGCTGCAGAGACCAGAGTGGACCAAGTCACAGAGGGGACAGACGGCCATTGCTCAGCACTGGGCCACTGCTTGGGGGGAGATGATTGCTGCAAAGCAAATGAAGGCTGGGAGGGCCAGGAGGTGGGGCACAAGGTCAGGGATGGCCTTTAGAATAAGAGAGCATTCAAGCAGGGCTCTGGAGGGAGGCTATGAGTGGAAAATGGACAGATTTGGAGCAAAATACCCATTACACTCTTCATGTAGTTATGAAGATAGTTTTCAGGAAGCAGGACCCTTTGGGTCTGAGGGCCACACCTAGAACTATCAGTGGACTACACACTGGTTTCATTGCCTTTTTATAATATAAATGGAGACATCTTAGAAAATGTATGGGGAGTATATTTGTATCACAATTTGTGTACCATGGATGTTGTTGAGTTTTTCTTTCTTTTTCTTTTTTTCAAAGGGTCCATCTTGCTGGGAAGATGTCTTAATTCCAAACCGGATGAGTGGTGAATGCCAGTCTCCAAACTGCCCTGGGACTACAGCAGTAAGTGTCTGGTTAAATTAATTATTTTTAAAATAAGTAAATGATGGTATCTTTGATTTTTGCTAGGAAATTAGAATAGAGACAAAAATTCCAAGTAACTTTTTTTCCGTCTATTAATATTCACCAAAAGTGTCACAATATTCAGACATGTTGGTAGCGTCCCACCTGTGCCACTGCCTTCCAGTCTCACTTTCCTCGTGTCTTAACCCCTCTGGGTGACCATGTTGATATGTGCTGATTTGAGCTCCTTACAAAGTAATATTCATGGAATAAAAAAAAGAGCCAAGAAAGGGGGGGCCAGTTCGGAGCCAGAAAAATAGCAAAATTCAATCTTTTCCCCAATGTGGTAATATTTTTTATATCTATGCCGCATTAACCCAAAATTACTTGTTTTATCTCTTTCTTCAGTGGTTTTCTAACACAGTGGACTCTTACAAACTGTAGCATGGTGATCAGCTTTATAATTGAATTACTACCCTTTCTTCTATGCAATCCATTTTTTCTTTGCAAGCATATGCCATATATTTCATGGACAGCAGATATTTCTTGAACAAGACACCAAATTCTGAATTTATCTTTAAAATCATTTTAGTATTATGGTCATGCATATCATACTTTTTACCTCAAAAATCCCTGGGTCCATCATAATTTGTGCAACTTCCTGAGATGTAGACACTGTTATGGTGCCAGCACAAATGTCAGTGTTAGTTCCAAACTGTCAGAGCCAGCTGGCAGGTGACATCTCCTCTAAGGAGCAAAGTGCGTCAGCACCAATAGATGCAGTGTTTGAGCTGGAATTATTAGGTGTGCTTTCCGTTCCCATCCACTGGACGAGTGCGTGGAGACCAAGACAGCAGCTATAAGATATTATTCTCCACCAAATTAGGGATGCAGACTAGGAATGGATCTTTATTAATGCAAATCCTGAAGAAAAATGATGACTTGTGTGTCACTCGTAGTTAGCAAGGCATGGTACAGCCTTGCAGGTTTCCTAGTGGGATGAAATTAAAATGTGCATATTATATTTCATAGGATGTAATTCTTAAATATAATTATATATATGCATGTGCACAAATACCACACCTGTGTGTTACAGTATGCCTAGCACAAAGACAGAATTGCATCCGATACTACTTTATAGTTCTGTGCACATATGTGCCTTCACACATATAGGGAACTGTCCACATGTGCATCTCTATGTGCCCCCATCCGTCCATCTACTCACCTGTCCTCTGCTGTCTCTAACACTGTGGTTTCCATATCATCTTTGCAGTAATGTGAAGTTCTTTGAAAAAAGACTTCAATCATTGACACTCAGACTGAGTCTCAGATACCTTGATAGTAATTGGCAGGAGTTAGTCACAGCAAATGAGACAATTCTGCATCTCCAAGGATTTTTTTTTTTTTCAAATCAGAGGGATAGTGTGGAAAATCACAACCCTTGCTTATTAAATATTCAACTTACCTTAGATGTCAATACATAGAAGTCAAAGTAAATTAAATTATATTGCAACTCTATTTCCAACAGCATGGTGAACTAATACTTCTAAAAACTGTCGCAGTACACACCATGTACAAATACTGGATTAAATTACAAAACATTTGTTTTTTGCTTGTCTTAAGATACAAGATCTCACTATGTTGTCCAGGCTAGTGTGTAGTGGCTATTTCTAGGTGAGCTCATAGTGCACTGAACCCCTATCCCCTAGTGATCCTCCTGCCTCAGCCTCCTAGGTAGTTGGGACTACATAGATGAGCCACCATGACAAAACACGCATTTTTAAAACAATGGTTATGCTGAAAACATGGTAAAGAAAAGTTTATATGCCAAAACTTAAGAGAAATCTGGACTCTGGAGAGGAAATTGTGTAAGCTGAAGCAAGTTGTCACCATGGGACACCACTGAAAATTGAGGGCTAGAACTGCAGATTGGTCAGACGCACACAGGAGACTTCATTAGGGGTTGGGACCTCTTCAAGGTAAAAAGTGCAACCACAGAATCCTACATAAAGCAAGGACTCACAAAATGTGTTTGCCTCATTCAATCAGCTAGAGAGGAAAGTGGTAGGAATCCTGGCCTATTTTGTGCTTACTCTAAGTCAGTGGTTCTCAAGCTTCCTAATGATATGCTCTCCCCCCCCCCCCCTTTTTAAGATAGGATTTATTTTTTATTAAATCATAGCTGTGTACATTAGTGCAATTATGGGCCCTTTAATACAGTTCTTGTGCGTTGCGTCCCTCGGGTTGAGAACTGTTGCTCTAGGAAGAAGAGAAAATGTTACCTCTAAGAATTTGCAAGTGTAAACCCATGTTTACTTGATGTGAGGGACGGTATTAACTCTCCCTGGGTAGCATATCAAGTCCTTGGCCCTGAGCATTGTTTAACAGAGTCATGAGTTAGTAGTGTTGGCTACAGTGCTGAGATTAGCCCCGTCCTCTCAGGAAACCTGTATTTTAAAATAAGTCCTCAGATGATTTCCTTGGTTAATGTTTGGTGGAGCATGAAGTAACAGTCAGAAACGTCACAAAATATACCATGTAGAAATGAGCCATCATAAATGAGAGTGAGCAGAATCCAAACCTGAAAAGAATACAGAAACTGAAATAATCGGAGGAAATATAAGTAAGCTTAATATGATTAACTATCATATATCCACTTAGATATCCACATCAACATCCAGTCAGATTAAACACAACACACACACAAATTCTAGAGTTAAAACTTATAAATGACACAAAACTTACTAAATGGACCTTAGCAGGCAAGACATAGGTAAAAAGAGAAATTAGAACTTAGCTCTGAAATCTGACCTGAAAAAATTACCCAAGATTCAGCCAGAAAAAAAAAATAGTCTTAAAATATAAAAGAAAAGTTAAAAAATATGGAAGATAGAATTCAAAATTTCAAATACCAGATTTCCAAATTAAAATTATAGAGAAAAAGGTGGAAAGATAATGCAGTCATCCCTTAATATTTGTGGGAGGATTGGTTCTAGTATCCCCTACCCCAGAGAATACCAAAATCACAGATATTCAAGTCCCTTCTTCCTAATGGCATAGTATTTGAATATAATCCATGCACGTCCTTCCACATACTTTAAATCATCTCTAGATTACTTATCATAGCTACTTACAATGTAAGTGCCATGTAAATAGTTGATATACTGTATTGTTCAGGGAATAAGGAGAAGGAAAAACAGCTTCTACATGATCAGAACAGATGGGTTTGTTTGTTTGTTTGTTCTCCTGAATATTTTTGGTCAGTGGCTGGTTGCATCCACAGAGAGGAGCCCATGGATACAGTGAACTGGCTGTGTTTAAAGAGATGACAAAGTAGAACTTTCCATAAATTGCAAGACTCGGGAATTCTAATGAATCCCAAGTCGTACGAATAAATTGAAACCCACCCAAACAGATTGTACTGAAATTGCAGAGAATAAAGTCAAAGAGAAAGTTCTCAAAGCAGCTAGGATGACAAAGACTTACTGTCTGTGTAGGGATGACAGCTCACCTGACAATGAAGTAAGCAACTTCCACGTTAAAAGATGACAGGGAAGCAGTAGCTTCAAAATATTGAAAGAAAACAAAAGTTGATGTGAAATTTTACTTGAGAAAAATCTTTTAAGAATGAGGGACAGGAACGACAATAAAGACATTTTCAGGCAGCAAAACTCAAGAATTGTCAGCACAAAGCATAAAGTTAAAGTACTCCAGGGTCTTTGTGTGTTTAACCAAAAAGGTAAAGATAGTGACTAAAATTAAACCTGGTTTGGACACATAAATTCATAGCAGCCTAATTTTTAAAAGATAAAAACTGGAAAGAATTTAAAAGTGATTGAATGGGTAAAGAAGAAACTGGTATGTCCACAGCATGGAACACAACTCAGCAATAACAGGGAATGGACTGCTGATGGATTCTGTAGCATGGGTGGATCCCAAATGACTATGCTCAAGGAAAGAGGCCAAATGAGCAAACAAAATGGTAGATACTTCATGACTCAGGTTTTGTGAAATTCTAGAAAATGGAAATAATCTATAGTGATGTAAAATGCATGATGGTTGCCCAGGGATTGAGTGCTGGCAAGTAGGAGCACGAGGAAGATATGAAAAAGGGTCCAAGGAATCTTTTAGGGTGATGAATTGTTCATTACCTTGATTCTGGTGTTGGTTTCACAGTAGTGTAGGCATGTCAGAACTCATCAAAAATATTATATATGAGAGTCGATTTGATGTCAATGATGCCCCAATAAAAAGCTTTTGAAAATCATTGCCAATACTCATAGAATTAGGTGATTTCACATAAAATTTCAAACCTTAAGCTGTCTCCTACAGACAGAAGTCTAAGCAGGAAGGAAAGCTGGCCCAGAAGCTTCCAGCAGACACCCCTCAGGCTGCCTTGGCCAGACAAGGGGCAGGGGGCTGTCTGATGACACAGGACAACTGGATGCCCTCCAGCATGTGCCAGGGAGAGGAGAGGCTGCCTTCCTTGCCGTGAGGGCTGAACGCTGTGCATCCTCAGGCCGTCCAGGATGGAGAGGAGGGACAGCTTCTGCCACTGGCCATGGGGGAGGTCAGAAAGTACAGTGTCATTCCTGAAGGCTTCACATGTGTGTGGCTCTGGGGGCTGTCCCACAGCACAGTCCCTGGTGCCTGGATTATATTGTGACCGGAGGCTTTCTTCCAAGGGCTACACTCCTGTCCACCTTGAGTGGGAATGCATTTTTCCTTAACAAGGGTGCAGAGATGGCTGAAGGAGTTGCTTCATACATGACAGCCACAGACTTTCTCTGGTGTCAACTCCTAAGTTTGTGTCTCCGGCTGAATGTCTCCCACTTGAGCTCTCAGCCTGTGAGCTTCCTGGTGCCATTTGCAGCAGGGGCCACAGCCAAAGGCCTCCTACACTCCCTGTGCTCACGGCACCTCTCCAGGGTGAGCACTGTGGGAGACGCCCCCCTTTGGTGTGAATTCTCTGGTGTGGAGTGAGTAGCAGGTCCCCACAC